TAATCAGTTTACGTGACACTAATTTAATCACCACTCCAAGATAATCAGTTTACGTGACACTAATTTAATCACCACTCCAAGATAATCAGTTTACGTGACACTAATTTAATCACCACTCCAAGCTAATCAGTTAAATTGCCCAGCTACAGTTATGTGCTTTAGTTATAAACAAGGTTAGCATAGACTGAGAATTCTTTAGTTGTGGTTTTGTTCCAACTAGGAAAATCTTATAAAAAAAACCTAAGTGATAATCACTTAACATTAACACACAAGATTTTTCTTCAATTAAATGCCAGCTTTTGCCTTCCTGAAGAGGTTGCTCCTTGTCATGTCGTGGTTTTTAGTGTAAAAGCTTTTACTTGTTAGGTTTTATGGGTGAAAATAACTGCTTGGCTGAAATAAGATTATTTGTAAAGTACTTTCTTGCAACTCTTTAAAATGCATGTTTCTTATTCTCAAATACTTATTGTGGTTAGAAATTTTTAAAAAGTGAATAAATGTCTTTTTTTTCAAATAAAATTTAAAATGTTTAAGTTTTTTGCTTCCAGAGAATTTTGATGTAATAATTAAGACCAGACTAACTTCCGCACTTTTCTCTAGTTTTTGTTTTTTTATGAAGTTTCCGTACCTTAAAAACTATTTAAGCCAAACTTCTCTAATATTATTGCCGATGAAAAGCTAGATTTTGAGTGCTTGCATTCTAACAATCCGAATATTTATAGACTGTCATGTTGTCAGTCTTTCTCATTGGACCTTTTCTGATATAAGACTATAGTTCTAGTATTTATAGAATAACTTGTACGAGTAATATTTCAATGCTCTTTCAGTTGTAGAAATTATGACAATGTTACGAACTGACGTCAATTTGACACCTTAATTTCAGTCATTTAGCTTTACATGTTTATTCATTATTAGTTATATATTGATAGATGTATTCTCTTCTCGGTTATATAATTATTTGATGTATTTTATTTTTAATTGTTTATGCACACACACACAGAGAAAAACTGTTGTTGAAGAGCATGTTGTTTAAATCATTGGTTACTAGCACCTAAAGAAAGTAAACTTCTTTTGATTCCTACAGTTGAGAAGATAATACAAATGGTTGGCAGTTATGCACCAAAACCAGAAATACAGTCATTCACGACCCAGCAAGAAGAAATGCCTTCAGGCATGTTGGCTCGTGGCAAGTACTGTGTTAAGTCGCTTTTCACGGACGATGACAAGAACGAACACCTGAAGTGGGAGTGGTCCTTTGAAATAAGAAAGGATTGGGATTAAAACAGTACGTTTTATTTTTGCCCCTTCATTGTTCATATGACTTCCCAATTATTAAATCATCATATTTGACTTCTAATATGCTGTATACTTATGTAGTTTACATTCTCTGGTACCAATTGTTTGTTTTTTTTCATAAGGAAGGCTCCATTCGCTGTTAAACGTGAGTGAAACATTTTGCATCACTCATTCGTAACTTGAAAGTAAAAAATAATATGAGCTCTTGTTTTTTTGGAGAGTGATAATAGGCTGTTTTCTCATCTTTTATAATTTAAATATCATGAATGAATGATTACGATTTGGACCCTTACAAGTCTTGCATTTCAACTTTGTGCCTTGTAAGAAAAATTTAATATAGATATAATAGCTGTAGATTTTTTGAGCATTTTAAGCCCTTGTTAATAACTGGTGCTGGTAGTTTTCCCTTCTGATATGATCATGAATATACACTAGGTTTTTTGATATACAGTCATATACACACATTTGTATTTTTCTCTTGTTAACCTTAGAGAAATAAAATAGAAAATTTTATAACGCATATCAGGTTTTCAAAACCATTTTTAAAAGAACTATTGTTTAAGGAAAAAGTTATTTCGATTCAGTTAGTATATATATTTTGTTAGTTCATTAATGCTGGAATATTTCCCAAGGCTCAGTTAAGATCACTGTGGTAGTACTATAAAAAATAGAACAAGCTAGGGGGTGAAATCTAACCATTCACATATATATATTTTATGCAATTTTTCTTTACGAGTCAGTTTCTTGATATTACACTTATTATTTTGCCCAATAATTTTAAACTTGGGCACTTGTTAATTTTCTTTGTTATGGTTTGGATTCAGTGTTCTTAGAGGTAACAACGTTGAGACTTGTTTTAAAATTTAGTAACGTTATATACATTCAATCTCATTCTTTGGTGTGGTGTAGGTTTATTAAAAGCATGATTTTTACAATAGAATGTAGAATATAGTTTTTCTTTCAACCTTGATCATAAGAATTATTGTAAAACTTAAGTTTCCAGGAGAAAAGTTTTATATTTATTAATTATGAGAAAGCGTCCATAGCTATAGACTTTTGCAGGAAAAATATCATTCAAATGTGAAAAAAAAAGTCAGTGTATAAACTGTACGTATTATATAGGAGGAACCAAATAAATACATATCCAGTTTCAATTACTGGTGTCTTTCTTTGTAGATTCTGGATTTAAAGATATATAAATCCTGTGGGCATTTATTGGTTTATATTTTTAATTTACTGATCTGTTCTTATACTACACAGTTTACCACTAATATGTGAATGCTAGTTAAAATATGGTTATACTAATTTACGAGTGATTGAAACCTTTTCATAACAGCATTGTTAGTTATTAAGATGTGGGTTAAATTAATTCCTGTTACGTAGAAGTTATTCTCATATTATCAATATCTTTAAGATAAAGTAGTGATTGTTTTGGTGTATGTCCTGCCCGAAGAATGCTATATGGCACTTCAAAGTCATATTTACTTTCATAATAATAAACACTGCCAACAGACTTTTTCAAGGAAATTTTCATATTATATATACACACACGTACACCCAGTTGGCCATTTCCTTACATAAGAAACACAGTCACAATTAAGTCAATATTTTTAATATGAACATTTGGTAGATTTATCCTCAACATGGATATTAAAGATGATACAAGATCTTGATCACGGTTGTTACTGTCCAAAGTATTGTTTTTAACTATTATCTGTATACAGGGCCAATCTTCAGCCGACTCCTACTTACACTTTAAAACAACAGTAGTAGAGGTAATCAATTAATCTTAGCCATATTTTAAAAAAGTTTACCAAAAAATATAGTGTGGCAGTAAAGCAGTCAGTAACACCATTATAAGTCCATTGACTACACTTATCAGGTACCAGTGGCCTTAAATTGTTTTTTGAGAAATGTCTGTTTATTATTAATATAAAAGAAGTCAAAATTTCCATGTTTTTTTGTGTTCCTCATAACCCTCCAGCTCTTATGTAGTTATTAGTCGATGTATGAACTCCAAAATATGCTACGTCATCAACTGATCATGTACTTTGTAGAAATTAGTGTGTTTCCAATGGTCAGGTTCAGTACCAGTTTTCAAATCTGATGTTATTGATGTGAGGAATTTGTTTTCGACCACATCTTTTTCTGTGGTAACCGTGAAAAGAAGTGAAGATTGATATTTCTTCTTTAGCTCAAGTTGATAGTAACCAGGTTGAAAATTTACTTTACCAACTTGTAGAAACTTATTTATTAAAAAGTGACAGAATCTTCAAGTGTTCTGTGTGAAATTGATATATTCAACTGTGAAGAAATAATTCTTGTCATATTTAGCTTCACATAAATATTCCCAAGTATTGTAATTACAAAATTACACTCTGAAGAACATACTTGATAACTTTGCTAAGTACTATTATGTACGGGGTAACAACCATGTAATCCGACTTAACAAAATACCGGCTACTATCAAATAACATTTTAATGTATTACTGATAAAAATAGCAATTTTGTGCATCACATGGAAAAAACTTGATTTTTTTTTTATTATCCCATAGGTACCTTCTGTTTTACCACAAGCGGATTCTAGAATACGAGTGATGGAGGCTGGACCTTATAGAATTAAATTAAACAGATCTTCACTCCTCGGGAGGCCTGATGCCAATAAGCTTGGGATGGTGAACCTTGTATTTTTTTAGCTTCTTGACCAATCGTGGGGGTTTGATTCTTTTAATTGCTCAGAAAAGCAGCTGTATTAAATATTATGTCAGTATTTGCATGTACATGTTTACTTTGTGATGAAAGACAGAAATAACCTAAGTATTTGTACATGTTTACTATGTTGTGAGAGCATAGGCTATATCACATATCTGATGTTAACGGGTGAAAACAAACCATTCAAAGCTATCTTAAACTGTAGTACCCTTCAAAGTAACATGTACATGTTTAGTATGTTGTGAGAGCATAAGCTATATCACATATCTGATGTTAACAGGTGAAAACAAACCATTCAAAGCTATATCACATATCTGATGTTAACGGGTGAAAACAAACCATTCAAAGCTATCTTAAACTGTAGTACCCTTCAAAGTAACATGGATAACATATAGCTTATGCTCTCACAACATAGTAAACATGAACAAATACTTAGGTTATTTCTGTCTTTCATCACAAAGGCAAACATGTACATGTTACTTTGAAGTGTATTATAGTATATTGTAATATTATATATTTTGGTAAAATGACAGATTCCGATCGTTCATTCAATCTCAAAAGTCGTAACTTCTTAAGTGTTTCCATTGCATCATGTAAAAAGTTATGACGAACAATTGTCATACCCACTTTAAGAGGTTAATTTATCACTACACAGTCTGTAGTTTTGTATTTTTCTTATCTATGACCAGTTAAGCCAATAAGGATCATGATTACACATCAGCTTAACCCTTACACAGCCATAATAATTACTTTGTGTCTGCTAATATGATAGTTTTTACATTTCTTATCGTGTTTTTGCAGGATTTAAAATATGATCTTTCAAATTTGTTATGTACACTAGTTACCAGAGTTTGTGTTTGATCGGTTAACGTTATACGTTTTAGGAACAAAGTGGAAACTATAAACAATAAAAACATGAATATTTTGTTTTTTTTTAACCTGTTATTATCCATGGAAGGGTTTTTTCCAATACCAAAGCAACACTTTGATCACAACAAACCAGGCACGAGGCACTTAAATGGCACATGAAACATTTGGTTTGTGTGTATATATATACAGTTGAAGTTAATGTCTAGCACGTGTAAACATACGGGTGGAGATGATGTCTAGCACATGCAAACATACGGGTGGAGAAGATGTCTAGCATGTGTAAACATACGGGTGGAGATGATGTCTAGCATGTGCAAACATAAGGGGTGGGGATGATGTCTAGCACGTGTAAATATACAGGTGGAGATGATAAAGAGTTAACTATTGCACATGCGGGTACTGTATCAACACAAAGTAAAGTAAACTTGGAGAACATCACTTTCTGGTTCTGATTAAAGTTTCTGTTTCTTCTTACCCTTCACTGTCTAGCACATCTTGTACTGTAGCTCTTGTGATAAGATGGTCATCACATTTAAACCACTGATCCCTGTGTTGTCTGATGTAGGCTGTATAGTGGCCAGTCTCTATAGTTCCAATGTGATTAACTACAGCAAAAAGGCAGTATCTGTAAAAGCAGACAACAATCTTGAAATAAGCTCTGATGTTCTACATAATAAATCAATTTTAAAATTGAAAGTAGGAAACACATCTGCTCTACAACTTCGTAACAGATGAAAAAACTAGTAAATCTGCTAATTTTTTCCACAGGAACAAATAAACTACGTAGTAAATGTTTTACAGAACACAAGTAATTTTAATTCTAAAAGAAAAAACCAATTATATCAGGTCCTGCATAAAACAATCAATGAATTTTATTACCTTAAATTGTATCAAAGGTTTTTTTCTCCCCCCCCCCTTTTTCTCTAACATACCAAAAAAAAAGGTGACCGTGTGAAACAAATCAGAAATTAAAAACAACCACAACACTGTTTCCACTGAGTGTAATACATTCCTATGATAAATTACCAGCTGTTATCATTCTGCACTTTATCTTACAGTTTCAAGATATTCCAAGGATACATTTTCCTAAATTAAAGCACATTCTATGAAGTATTTCAAGCTACTACTTTAATAACACACTTAAACTGAAATAATCAGTTAAAACAATATGACAATATAATTTACATCTGAAACAAACAAGTTCATTAACAACCTTGAATAACACAAACATGTTTCACTACAGCATTTAACCAGTCTGCAACAAAGAAAGTTTTGAAATAATTTATTTAGGAACTATACATATATTTAAATCAACCGTCAGAATACATGTGTGATTAGAAATTATAAATGCAATTATTAGTGTTCTTGATAACAACTAAGAAAAAATGCACATCCTTTAAACTCACATTTATTTTATTTGCTTACATACAAGTAATTTATTTAATTTAATCTTTAATAAAGCAGCTGGAAAGTTAAGACAAAAACTCACTTGTTGTCTGCTAAGTTAATACTGTTGTTGAACCCATTATCACCAGTTCTGCTAACGTTACTTGCCTTACCACACCCAGATGACATGAAAGGAGTCATGTCTAGGTATTGAGGAAATGAGATGAAAGTGGAAATTTTCTTGTGGTACCTTGTTGAGTGCTCAAAACGCTGAAAAGAAATTCAATAATTTGTGCAAAAATAGCGAGCAGTTTATATCCGTAGAAGTACTTTATTTGCACCTATCTTGGGAAACAAATTATACATGTCAAATTCTGTTGGTGTTAATCACACCTGTATACACCCATAACTACTTTGTTTCAAAA